TAAAGATAACTTTTTGAATAGCACACGTGAACTATTTCTCTTCTGATGATAGTTCCTTCAAACAAGCCAAAGGACCACCAGGGGAAACCCACTTTCCCTCATCCTTGCTGAAAGTTTCATGAAGCAGTTTGAAAATGTGGCTCGAAACACGAACCAAGATCTTCTTACAAGAGTTAACGCTGATTCCCTCAAAGTACCGAGTTATTTATGGAAAGAGAAAAAATCTCACTAAACCATTCATTCTAATGCTTTAATAACTGCCATAAAACTAAAGTTAAACCTATAAAACACAACATCTTAACTTTATATCACAATCATTTAGACAATAAATGTTCTGTGGTTACAGTCAGAACCTTGAAACTCCGTACCAGTGAATTTCTAAGATAATATAATATATATCAAACTAACCTTACCTAACAACAATAATAATCATCCAGTCGAATTCATTAATAACATCATGATCAGTAGAATAATTTATTTTATTTAACTGCAATAATTAATAATGCAATTTATTAAGCATTATTTAAGTAGCTTATTAATTAACACTATACATAAAGCTATAATAAATTTAATGCGCTATTTAATAATTCTGAGAATAATAATTCTTTACGCTGTGTAGTTGCGGAAAATATTACATAGGGGAAACAATGAACACCGTCACGGAAAGATCGAAAAACCACCTGCCAAGCTGATGAAGAGATAATCGCGACGAGCATGAGCGACATGTGTTAGCAAAGCATTTAGAAAGAAAACAAAGCCTCGCTCCCAACGAAATCAAAAAACAATGATGGTCGGAGTGTAGCGGCATCGTGAAAAAGGGAGGCATTGGCTGCAGAGGCGCATAAGAGGCATTAATCATCCAATCCTGCACAAACGTCAACCGTAACAAAAGATACGACCTCTGCGCGGATTGGTTGAGTCTGGTCGGTTAACTATCAGCACGGACCGAAAGCTTGCCTTCTGGCTCCAAAACTGACTGCTGCGGACGACCAACCAACTTCACTACCAATCCACCTTGAAGAAGGACCATGAGACAGATTTTACCGGACTATACTGTGGCATGCCTTGGGTATGAAGCTACACATAAACTGAAAAACGCAAGCAAAGTGGTCAATGAGTGCCAGTTTCGGCTAGCCTTTGACTTCTGCAATTTGCTCAGAAAGGTGTGCCTCTGGCCCATGCTACCGGTTAAGCAGTTTGTGGTCACGGGCTTGACAGGGGTTGTTCAATCCGCGCAGACTGCACATCCTTTGCCCCAGTTCGCATTTTCGCAGGAGTGGAAAATTAACGCTTAATTGATTCGTCTTTCAGCCAGTTTCTTTCTGTAATAATGCCCTGCAATGTATTCATTGGGAAACGTGATCTTTCTCTGCTAAGGTTGCACAATCTCAGGTTCATTTCACATTGGGGTTTGACCTTCTGGGGAGCAAGGATTTGTTTTCTTCCTGGATGCTTTGTTGCAGCATGTCACTAGTGTTCTTTCGTGATCATCCATCTTCACCAGCTTGAGAGGAAG